CGTTGATCTCATTTAAATTAATGTCTCTTGAGTTCCATCCAAAGGAGCTTCCTAGGAAGTATTGGTTCTCAATGTAGATAAAGTGTTTGGCTCTCCTTATGGCGTTAATGTAAGCGTCTTGTATGCTTCTTTCGATGACGTTATTTTTACCGGTGACAAGTCCTACGCTCGAAGCTTCACGTGGATCCTCTGGGAACCCTTCAACTGCACCGTTATCTATCGACCGGAAAACTTGAACCGTCCAGCCTTCGGTATCGTCCGGTTGTACGATTGGTAGTGGCGGAACCGTGATCTCTGAGAACCGTTCCATCGATACTAGGTACCTTCTACCGTTACCTGTAAGCACACAAAATCAGATTATAATGAATGATCTTTGTTTAAGACACTATTATATTGTTTTGATTTACATGCAACTCTTTCTCACATTAACAAAAATAATTTGATAAGATATATTCTGAAAAAGTATTTGCAAACGCCAGATGCAGACAAAGCTTTTCCTTCCAGTATATGCAATTAATATCAGTTTTTAAAGTTCAGACATTATGTTTATATAGTCTATGTAATATTTCTCATAATTGAAATATAAAAAAAAATCATTTTAAATTTTTTTAAACGTTATTATAACATGTTTTTTTGGGTAAAGTCGTGATAAAATGTAAATTAAAAAACGAACCATTGAAAGCTAGTTTTATTTGTTTCAATACCTTGTTTCATCCATCTCTGTTCAAAATTGTACAAAACATCCCAAGCCGCAGGACCATCCAGCCTGCAGTGAATATCATGCCAAGGCTCACGTGGACCGCCTTTTTTAATCGACGCCCCAGCAAAGTTCGGCTGGTGAAAGTCATTAGAATGAATATTGTTCAAAGTACCGAACAAAGGATGCTCCTCAGTATCATACCTCCCATCACAAAGATCAAGTCCTCCAAGAAAACTTACTATCCTTCTCTTTGTTTTCAACCCCTCCACCTCAGCGTCCACCACAATGGTTTTCTGATGGTGAGTAAACATTGCAGCCACACCAAACCCTTGAACAATGCTCTCACCGTTATCCGGGTTCCTCGGACAAAGAACGCAACGCACTTTCGTGTTCTTGAAGTAATCGTAAGTTTCTTGATCATGTGTCATCATCAAACCGTCTCTCTTAAACGCTTCGTTAGACGTTCTATCGTCCCACACAAGCATAAGAACGGTCACGTTTTCTTCAGCTTTCTTCTTAAGCAACTCCCCTAGCTTTAGGTTCCCACCTGGTCTCGGCCGTTTAGGATCTCTAATCAATGTTATGTCGGGGTACACCGACCATCCCGTGATGTATATCAAATGTTTTGCGTCCCATATCGCATCGAAGATATCTTCCCAACACCGATGATGTATGTAAATCGCTTGTCCTCCCGCGAGAGTAATGTCCGGGTACTCGCCAAGGACATGAGCGTCTTGGTAGAGCGTAACCTTGCAACCTTCTCTTTGGTTGAAAAATGCGTTAGGAACTCCTTTATAGGGTGGTGATGATATTATTGCTTTGTTCCAATCTGGGTCGTTTGTTACGCTAGTGAACTTCACACGGACATGGATTTTCGAACCTCCTTGGATAGGGTTCTTGTTCTGGTCTAAAACATCGAGCCATCGGTCTACAGGCTGTCCGGAGATGACTTCAGTGGCAGGTAAGTAAGCTCGGCCGATAAGGTTTGCACTGATAGGTTCATCTTCTTTGATTGTGAATATGATTTTGGAGATTGAATGTGCCGCGTAGATGTGGAAAGACTGGAACCATTTAGGGTGACGTCTCATCATGGTACGAGCCACCCTTGATCTGTCTAGGTCGATGGTTGCGTAGAGATGTCCTCCTAGTAAATCTGTGCATGCGGTCGCTAGTCTCTTGATTTGGGTTTGAATCTTCTTCCCCGTTGGTTCCTTGTCCCCCTAATAATTATTGTGAGTTTTTATTTTACAAAATATTTCTTATTCGTCAAAATTATATTTTGGTCGCATTTTAATATATATGAAAGATAATAATGTATTACAAGTATGTTCTCTATTAGTACAGTAGAGAAAATAGAATGTTGGAACTTTTAAAATATGTATATATTAATATATATCAATTAGCATATTGGTTATATATTTAGCTACTAAAATATTTAAGAAAATTATAAATAATACCAAAATATACAATCCACAAATAATATTTTATAAAGTTATAATCATATTCAGACAATGTTGAATATAAATGGGTTACGTACCTTGCCACATAAACCGAATCTTGCACGTTGATGCAACTTATCGATCCTGTATATCTTTACTTCAAGAGTTCCATGAAGCAATAACTGTTCCGCCATATTGTTTTCACCTACAAACTATTCTACTTTCAGTTTAAGTATATATATATGTTTGAAACAATATCGTGGAAAGTAGATTCTTTCTATATTTTCTGATTTTGTGGATGAGTCTATATTACTATAAAAATATAATAATAACAAACCACAAGGAACCAAAATAATCTCCCTTTTGAGGATCTTCTTGAAAATGCTCCAATCCGCTTAGCAATTATGTAAACATAAAGTTAGAAACAGAATATATAAGGAGTAAGTTCGAATTTTAAAAATGAAACCTTTGGATTAAGATTGTGGATTACTTGAGGAAACTGCATAGGGATTACTAGAAGAAAGAGGTGAAGTCTCTTAATGGGTTTGAGACAGTATGTCTTCTTAAGTTAAACCTTTTCTTGTAGGCCAAACTTAACACAAGAGAAGTCCAGAACGGAATATGCTTCTTTTGAACATTAATCTGACGACTCGTGTGTACAGTTTCTTGATGTATTAATTATGCGAATGATTCCATTATTATTCTAAATGTTTGTTTACAGAAGAGACTGTTAAACAGGAAATCCTTTATGTCCAGGTAACCAATTTTGCCCTACTTCCAAAATCTCAGTTTTACTGCAGTAATGAAAATGATATTTCTAATGGGTAGACCAGGAACTTAATTCTTTTTGTTTTTGACGTAATGGATACGTATTTCTCACAGGCCTTCTTTTCAATAAGCCCATATAAAATTTGGCCTCGTTTTTCTTATATTCATCTTGAATTTTTCAGGATTTTTAGTAGTTTAACCCCTCAACCTAAGATTAATCAAAAATAAAACTTTACCTAAAAATCCTGTGAAATAAACCCTCAACTTTAATTATCTTAATTAGATTTTTACCCGCGCTTAAGAAGCGCGGGTATTTTTGATTGACCGTAAAAGAAATATTAAATAAATTTATAACTGTTATTATATATATTATTAAAAAAATTGTTCTGTTATTGTTATTCGTCTAATCGAATGTTTTCATTGTATTTTCATATCTGAGTCAGACTTGTGGTCATACAGATAGATCCATTTACTCGTATATAATAACGGTAGGGTATAATAAAACGGATATGGTAAAATACCTTTAAAATAATATGAAAGACCGTTATTAGTCCAGTGAAAAATATATTTTTGACATATCAATATATATTTTACTTGTGTGAGAATAAATTTTTGTACGTAAAATTTGATTAAGCATTTGTGTTACTCGTAATTTTTGAAATATATATTATATTTAGATTTTTATCCGCGCTTTTAAAGGCGGTTTTGTTTTTGAATTATAAACAAAATTTTGGTTTGTTATACAATATTAGTTTACAAAGTTGTATTATATAGAAGCAAAAGATTTTTTCTTTTTTCTAAAAAAAAAATTATATATATATAATTTATGACTTAGTGTATTTGAGATTTTGAATGTATGTTTTTATGTAACTCTATCTTCGAGTTTTGGGCCTCAATATTTTACTCGGACGCAAAAATTGAATTGAAACCGATTCAATAATACATGTTCAGTTCGGTTGGGTCCGTGTTAAAAACATATTGGGTATTTTTCTAGACATGCGGTCTCTATCCGAGTTTAATGAGTATTAGGTATATTTCATTATTTCAAATATGTTTTCGGTATTACATATATTTTTTAAGTGTTTAGTTCAGATTTTTTGTAATAATTTTTGGTTTCGAATAAAATTTCAGTTTTTAGAAATATAATTTTGGCATCCAAATAAAATTTTGTTAGTTTTTGTTTCTCTTGGTCAGATTTCAGATAAAATTTGGGTTTTCAAATATTTCAAAATTTTATATGGACAAAGCGACTTCTTTGAATACTCCAAGGGTAAATAGATTTCTCGATGTTAAAAGAGATGTTATGTTAAAATATTTTGGTAAGATCTAAAAAAAATAAGTACTTTGGAGATGCTAATGCTCGTTCAAGGAAATTAGAACGGTGTCGAGAATATATTCATACTCTCCAAGGTACGTACTGATTTAAGACTGGTTTATCCTAGAAACCTCGATTTTGGTATGGTTTTGCAGACACATTCAATTTATAAAGTCGAACGCAAATGGAACATGGTTTTATAATTGATGAAACCACGACTACATGGCATTCGGAGAAACAAGATCGGTTTTGACTTCTTCGAAGCATGTCGAGAATGTCTGGCTTAGATCAATAAGTCACTACATACAAGAATCAAGTGGAATAGTTAATAAGAAAGAACCAACGAAGATACTTGAAGATAATTCGGTGTATGTCGCTCAACTCAAAGAAGGCTATATCAAGTGAAATTTTGGATAGTATGATTTTTATTAAAACTTTGCATGTGAGTTTTATATCGAAAAAATCGATATAAAACTCAGAATTTGATTTGCTTCAGAATTAGATATTAAAAATCGATATAAAACTCAGAATTTGATTCATATTTGTTGTTTACGGATATTGCATTCAAGAAGTTGATTTGCTTCTAGAGTTAAGAATATCCAGATTTTTCTGTTCAAATCAAAACGGAAACCAAATCAAATAAAATTTTATACATATTTTGTCATGTCCTATCCGTAAATATATATATATATATATATATATATATATAACTAGTAAAGAATAAGAATAATATATATACATATATATATATAGTTTGTCCTGTCCTAAAATATATATATATGTAATTACTTAAGAATAAGAATATTATATATAATTAGTTATGGATTTTGATGCAAACCAAAAAATTCAGATAGTATGATTTTTATTAGAACCTTGCATGTGGGTTTTATATCGAAAAAGTCAGAAAATTCATCGTGTAAACGCATTTATTTAGAGTTTGGCTGAGAAGCTTTCTACACGTGACACATAGCGTTTTCATTCTCAGATCGACGTGAGGCTGACACATGTCCTTAAAGTGTGAACACATTTATTGTAATGCTTCTCTTTTAATATATAAGGGATATTTCTTGCAAAAATTATGTCCATCAACTTTAATACACGATTTTTTGCGTGTTTATAGAGTTTTTATAACTATATTTTTTTAAAACAAAACCAGGTTACATATAAAGTCATCAGTTTTGTTGGTTTAACTACGGATCCAGATTATGTTTCAGAACACTAAATATAACGCTTTATGTGTAACATGTAAATGTTGATACATAATCAAAAATACAAATTTATATCCTATAGATTTGGTTTGTTTTCAAAATATTTCCGCACTTTGAATCAGTACCAAGTCTTACGTTTTAATGGGAATTTTGGAGGTTTTATAGCATTTTTAAATAATGAATTTAAAAAAAAAACTAAACCGGATTACATATAAAATAATCGGTTTTGTCAGTTTAACAACGGGAAATTTGTAGGGTGAATAAGAAAAAAGAAAATTCCATAAAAACATAAGTTAGTTTTATAGTTGATATCATGTTTTGGCTCAATTTACAAATACCCTATAATTATATAATATATTTATTAATATAATTTATATATAATATATATTCTGCGTCTTACACGAATCTTAAGCTAGTGAATTAATAAAATGCAAACAGTTTTTTTTTTTCTTTGATCAAATGTTATAATTTCGATTATCTTTCTTCTTTTTTGTTCTCAAGGCGTCATTTTCATTTGAATTGGTTCATGTTTTATATTTGCAGAGCCAGGATAAGTAGGAACGTTTTGTAAAATATTAGAGGAACTATACATTGTCATTATAGCTTATAAAAAAATCAACGATAAATGTGTAAAATCAAAAAATAAATTTGTAAAATCTAAATAAAACGTAAGAAGATCTAACAAACGCTATAAAATTCGAGGTGGACATAAAAAAGTGAAGAATGAAAACATTCAAAAGGCAAAAGATTAGAAAAAAAAATATGTAACTGAAAGTTTCAGTGAGAAGGGAAGAATTTGTTGAGGCAGCAAGGTAGACCATAAAACTCATCGTTTCGGACATCAAGATTGTATAGTCGAAACTTTTCCCACCATTTCAGCCCGCAATCTTTCTTGGCTTCATCGTTCTCACGAGACAATGTGCAATCAAGCACTATTGCTATCATTCCGGCAACCGTTGTGTGAGACATAAATATCACTCTTATCACATCTTCAAACTGGTTTGTATTCATATAATCCAAGAGAACCCATATTAGCAAAAGAATATTTTCAAAATATTATCTCATGAAAAGTATCCAAGAAGATGTACTGACCCAACTGGAGTGATGATCAGACCTCCAACCTCCATTGTAGTATTCTCTAAAGTATTGAGGGATTGAAATAGCCATGAAAAAGGAAAATCCCAAGATGAATTTGGTGTTGAAGCTGTTGAGGTTGCAAAACTGTAGAAAGCTAAGCCCCGCAGAAGCTACATTGCATTTGAAATTATTTTATTTCTCAATGAAAGCGACAAAGCATATAATATGGTACGAAAGTGTAAGTGGTGTTATGTAATGAAACGACTTACACACAAAACACAAGACGATGCAGTAAACGGACGCCATAATTGGTAATGGTATGGACGCGAAAAAGGCTCCAAACTTTCCTGCATTTTGATTAAAAAAAAAAAAAAATACTAAACCACCGATTATTCACCAAATTCATTTGTCTACTGGAAAAAGTTATAACAAAAAAAATACCAAAAATGGAGAAAAATAGCATGAAGGCAGCTGATATTTGTATCACTCGTCGACTCCCAATTTTAGTCATTGCCAAGAGTCCAACATTTTCTCTGAACATTAAGAAATATGTATTCACATCAATAGATACTTGATAATTAAAAAAAATAGTTTAGAGGTGAGATGTTCCTTACGTTGATGTTGTAATCCCTGAGACGCCTCCAAGCATGCCATTCAGTAATACTCCAACTCCCTACAAGATATTTATTCAAGTATTTCTAAGATGATGAAAAAAATATTTCATAAACGGTTAAAGAAAAAGTGACTAATTAAATTGTTCTTAGACTAACCAGCCAGCCAGTACCACGGCTAATAACTGATGGTGGGATCGGAGTCGCACTACCATATCTTGCAGATGCGTAGAACAAACCCGTTGACTGCAATAACATAGAACATTTGCACTCTTCATAACCATAGTTATGTTTCCTTGATTTAATATTCATTGCTCATTATGATTCCAGAATATCAATTTCATAACAAAAGAATAACCTCAAAGAGAGTGACGAGAGAGGCAGCCATCATCGCGAAAGAATCAGTGAAGTGGAAGGTTGGACTTCCCCATTGGAAAGGATATGGTAAGTATATCCTATTGTAATTAACATAAAGAGAATATAATTCGAAAGTCTGAATATATAGATAGTGAAACAACAACAAAAAGAAAACATTCAAATAAAAAACTGACCAAGGAGTGTTGGAGATGAGACCATTTCGATCTGTACGGCAACTAATTTGAGTAGTTTGAGGCTTATGGTTATATACACCACTTGATGTGAGTAGCAGAGCTAACAACCAAACCAATGGAATGCATATCATCATCCCATAACGATCACATCTTGATCCGTCCCATATCCCCCCTTGCTTCTTCTTCAGAAATCGCGGTAAGTACTAAAACCCACAATAGAAAAAATAGACGTTTTTTTAAATGAATATAGATTATCATTATCTAATAATGTGTAGTGATTTAAAATGAGAAAAAAAAAGGCAATTGTTAGAGCTTTACCTGCGTGACAAAAATAAGTAAGATCAACCCGGGAAGACCCACTTCAACGCACCTCGCCAACTAGAATACAAAGATTTTTACATCTTATAGAATAATATAAAGTATTCTATAATCAACCATAATGAGAATGCATATAGACATACCAAAGGGAAGCCAATTTGGTAGAGTCCTAGTCCGGCAAATGTTGCCAAAGGAGCAACTGAGAGTGGACTTATAAATCTAATGACCACACAACCAAAAACATACTTTTCATTTGGTGGGTGAGGGTTAGTCCAAGTAAAGCAAAAATAATATAAGTTATTTTACCTGGCGATATTTCTCCATACGCCTAAGAAACACACAAGAACTTGGAAACAGCCGGCGACAATCAGAGCCCCTTGTATGCTTCTCATTGTTCTCACAAACCTCTGTTTAATTATGTGATCAAACAATTTTCATTAGTGAGGTTTAGTTTGTAAGAATAAATGATGAGATTAAGACTAAGACTTACTTCAAAAGGATCAGTGTAATGAGTGAAGCGGCTTGATGAAATAATGGAAGTGATAGGTATGATATAGGCATAAGAAGCAGCAGCTATCACAGGCAATCGAGTTCCAAAGAAGGAATGTAATAATGTTGTTAAGCCAGACACAAATAGCATTGTTTGTATAACTCTAGCCTTCTCTGCCTGAGAAATAACATAATATATTGAAAAAAAGTTGTCTATCATAAATCAAAAGATATAGGACATAAGAAAAATCAAAGTTAGATCAAAACTTACATCACCACCTCCCATGAGTGGGACTAAGAGACTTGGAATAAGAACCGTGATGCCAAGACTCAACAAATAATGCTGAAAACCCAACACTACCGCTTCAACTGCAATACGAAAAATAATATTATTTACCCACAACATAAACAAACTAATTTAATAAAATAATTATTTGTTTTTTTAAACGTACGCCAAGGAGGAGGACTGTTGACACAATACTGAATGCCGGGGAGTTGTTCTTTCACCGGGTGAGGCTGTAACTCCACCGTCCTATTGCATCCTCCACTGTTGTTTGTGTTTCCTCCACCACCGTTGCGGTTGCCACCACCACCATTATTGTTGTTGCCACCTCCACCAGCGTTATTGTTGCCTCCACCACCGTTGTTGTTGTTGTTGTTGCCGCCACCAGCGTTATTGTTGCCGCCGCCACCGTTGTTGTTGCCGCCACCAGCGTTATTGTTGCCGCCGCCATTTGCCATGGACGTGGTTACTTTGTGTTTTTCTTTGTTTAAAGTAAACCAAGGGTATCCTTTGGGAGGATCTAGCTAGTGGAAGGGTTTAGTAATTTGAAAAAGATGTGTATAGAGTGAAAGGAGAAGAAGTCAAAAAGGTAATATGAGTTAGAACTCCTATAGCCTTTCCCCAACTACTATTTGTAAGCAAATAATAAATAAATCCTGCAATCGAAAATAGTTAAATGAGTATATTTTTTCAATTAATGTGATAATAAAAGTCTTACAAATGTCAGTTTTGATACATGAAATTTGAAGTTATTTATTATGACTTAAATATAAGTTTTGAAATGTTTGACTGTAGTTATCGGAATATTATGAATTTGAAAAAAAAATTGGCGGCTATTAACGGTCTAAAAATGTCATGAACACTACAATTAATAGCTTCATGTTTTTTTCACTGCAACGTATTTAAACCGTTCAAAAGTCAAGTTTTAAATTTTTACTTCAAAGTATTTCACCCGATTAACCGTAAATTCATGCTGAGGTGGAATGGAGTTTAATTAGCTGTAAATTAACACGATTATTGTTAAGAACAGTTAAAAGCATGGGTGGAGAAATTACGCGGTATAACTAATTATCAATTACTTAATTACTAGGTGTTTTTCCCGCACATGCGGGCATAATTTTCATATAATTTATTATTAATCTATATTTTATTAATTAAAACCAAAATAATAAGTTATGATTTATGTTTTAAATTAATTAAATGACAACACTCACATAATAAAATATTTTTAAAAATATTTTTTTACAAATGTGTTACTTTAATTTATTTTAATTTATTTTTTTCTATCTTAATTTTTTATTTATATAATAAAAATATATTTTCAAGATAACAATATAATACATAAGAAGTATCTTATTTTATCAAAATATAATTTTTCATAGAAATTCATTTTATTTTATAATAAATTTTATATGAAATTCTTAAAATATGACAAATAATCAAAATTATCTAAATTATGGAGAAATTACAAATCAGATAATTCACTTAAATTTTCTAATAGAAAATATATGTTCAAGATAACAATCTAATAGATAAGAATTATCTTTTTTTTTTAAATCTAGTATTATTATATACATTCATTTTATTATTTAATAAATTATATATGAAATTATTAAAATATGATAAATAAGCAAAGTATAAAACCATGGAGAAATTGATAAATCAGTATTGCTTTTTTTTTATATTTACTATTAATATTTAACTTAATTTTGATTTCTATGATAAAAAATATATTTTAAGATAACAATATAATACATAAGAATTATCTTATTTTCAAAAAGTATAATATTATTAATAGAAATTCGTTTTAATTATTAATAATATAATTTTATATATTAATTTTAGAAAAATATTAAATTATTAATATAAATTCGTTTTAATTATATTTAAATACTAAGTTATTAATATAAATTCGTTGTAGATAAATATAATAGTGTTTATATCTTAATTCAAAATTTAAGTTTTATATATAAAAATATATTTCAAGATAAAAACACAATTCATAAAAATTATCTTATTTTAAAAAATATAAGAGTATTAATATAAATTCGTTTTTATTAAATAATAAATTTTATATGAAATTATTTAAATAAGTTAAATAAAAAAATTTACCTAAAATCAAGGAGAAGTTGACAACTAAGCAAATTTACTTCTTAAATAATAGTATAGATGTCTTAACCCGTACGTATTACAAACACATACGTTGCTCTCTCTTGTTTCCTCCCCTTTGTAAACCAATGAGATTTTGCCACCTCAGCAATACAAGTCTTTCCCTTCTTTTTCTCCCCAACGATCAATTTCTGTCTCGTCTTTTGGCCTCTCTCTCTAGGATTCTCCAGCGTATTCATTGAATCTAGAGAGAGATAGAGGCAACATAACGTCTCCGAACTCTCCAGGTATGTCGAAGACGATTCAATGTACAAAAACTATGTTGTTTTAGGGTTTTTAACCTAATTGTGAATATGTGTGTTATCTTGTATAACACGTTACGTGTGTCTCTGCAGCAATGGAGAGTGAAGGGGGTCCCTTCAAGGGGATACTCAGAGATATAGAAGGTAGACGCAAATGCTACAAACAAGATTGGATTCTTGGCTTCAAAACCGGTTTTAGGTACATAACAACACAAATATTTCTGTTGATTATGTATAATCTTGAGATGTTTAAATATGTAAACCAACGTCACATGTTATGTTTCTCACCAGAATCTTGGCTCCTACTTGCTATATTTTCTTTGCCTCGTCTCTTCCTGTAGTTGCATTTGGTGAGCAATTAAGTAAACACACAGGTATTATTTTATATAACTACTTCTTACCAAGTTGCTATGTATTGAATATCTCATAAGAGTGTTAACCTAGCTCTGATGATTAATAAATATATATAGGTGGAGCTTTGAGTGCTGTGGAAACATTAGCTTCTACTTCTCTTTGCGGAATCATTCACGCCATCTTTGGTGGACAACCATTGTTGATACTTGGGGTTGCAGAGCCAACGATCATGATGTATACTTATCTTTACAGTTTCTGCATTAGTAGACCTGATCTTGGTCGAGAGCTTTACCTAGCTTGGGTGGCATGGTAAACTAATAAAACATAATCTTGTTGATTCTTAACTCGGAATGTATCTGTTTTGATGTTTGATTGGTTTGCTAATTAATATCTGCAGGGTGTGTGTATGGACTGCAGTTTTCCTTATCCTTCTTTCGATATTCAACGCGTGCACAATCATCACAAGATTTACAAGAATCGCTGGAGAACTCTTTGGAATGTTGATTGCTGTTCTCTTCTTACAAGAAGCTATCAAGGTACAACCGTACAAGCCAGTTCCATTAATTGTCTATATGTTAAGTCATATGAGTTACATATATATAACATGTTTTAGTTATGATGCATGCCATGCAGGGATTGATTAGTGAGTTTCAAGCTTCTGAAAGTGAACATCACGATAAATCAGGAGAGTCAGATTTTCTCTGGGTGTATACAAATGGGTTGCTTGGGGTAATTTTCTCGCTAGGTCTGTTAATCACTGCGCTAAAGAGCAGGAGAGCTAAGTCTTGGAAGTACGGTTTTGGTATGTCATTGTTTACATTAGTTCCTTGAAAAAATGTGAATAGATATTCATTTAGGCTACTAACAACCAACAGGGTGGCTTAGGAGTTTCATTGGAGATTATGGTGTTCCTTTAATGGTCTTGCTCTGGACTGCATTGTCTTACACGATTCCTAGTAAAGTACCTGAAAATGTTCCTCGGAGACTCTTCTGTCCTCTTCCATGGGAGCCAGCTTCAATGTACCATTGGACTGTAATCAAGGTAAAATCTAACTATTATTAATCCAAAGGGAAAATAACTTTAATAGCACTAAAAACATTATGGAAAAAAATTAGCACATAAACGGAAATGACTAAAATAGCACTAGTTAAAAGATAAAATGACTAAATTACTCCAAATTCTAAACGGTTTCCCTAATCTCACCTTTTGATACTAAACATTATATCATAATCACTAAACTCAAATCTAAGTATAAAATAAAAATGTTCTTTTTTTTTCCTTTCTAAGTATAAAATAACTTTTAGTTAATGTTATTTGTATCATTTTCCTCTTTGTGTGCTAATTTTGGAACAATATATTTTAGTGATAGTTTAGGGTATTTCTCTAATCCAAATGCAAAACAATATCATGTACTTATAGAACTAAGCCTTGTTTATATACAGGACATGGGGAAGGTACCAGTAATGTATATCTTTGCTGGGATTATACCTGCTGTGATGATAGCTGGACTTTACTTCTTCGACCATAGTGTAGCTTCCCAAATGGCGCAACAGAAAGAGTTTAATCTAAAGAACCATTCTGCGTACCACTATGACATCTTCTTGCTGGGAATTATGGTGTGTTCTCACATTTTTTTAAAAATTGGTTTCAAAATATATATACATTTTCATGATTTAAGAAAACAGTTGTTATGGTGATCATTTATAGACTTTGATATGTGGACTACTTGGACTTCCTCCTTCAAATGGTGTTATTCCTCAAGCTCCAATGCACACAAAGAGTCTCGCAATTCTCAACCGTCAGGTAAGATATGAATATAGAGACCATAGTTTTTTTACAACTACAAAGCTTGCCTTTGTTTTTGTTTGCAGATGACACGCAAGAAAATGGTGAAGAGTGCAAAGGAGGGTATGAAGATGAAAGCAAGCAAATCAGAAATATATGGGAGAATGCAAACAGTGTTTATAGAGATGGAGACATGTCCACCTCAGGTTTGTTCAGTAGCTGCTGACTTGAAAGACTTGAAAGAAGTTGTGATGAGACCAGATGAAGGAGGAGATAAAAAAGGAAAATTTGATCCAGATGTGCATATTGAGGATAACTTGCCAGTTAGAGTAAACGAGCAAAGAGTGAGCAACTTGTTGCAATCAGTACTAGTGGGTTTAACACTTCTTGCAGTGCCAGTCATCAAGATGATCCCAAGCTCCATTCTCTGGGGCTACTTTGCTTATATGGCT